TATATGTGTGTGTATGTGTGTGTGTATATGTATAGTATATAGCTAGTATGTGTGTGTGTGTGTGTGTATATATATACACACATATACATATATATAGGTGTATATGACAGATAATAAGAAAAAGGACAGAGGGAGAGGAAAAAAAGGGTATTGTAGTCCAGTGTGGACAATGCATGCGTGCCTTGACAGTACAATTGTCGTGCATGTTTTGTGTGTTCTTTGGCCTGTTGGTCTGGTTTTTGGCCTATGTATGATAATTAACTTTATAGGGTCTTATAAGATAAATGTATGAATCTGATGCTGGAAAAATAAAAAGGAGAAAGGAACTGGGGTGTGTTATGTATAGGTATCGCTCCCCGATGGTGAGTGTAATCATTATGTACTGCAAACATGTACTAATAAAAGTAAAAAAAAAAAAAATAGGCAAGAGATCTAGATTTTATGTTGAGGATACTTGAGGATCACTGATTTTTATTAATATTTAGTGATTGTACATAATAATGGGATACAGTTTGATGTTTCAACACATACATACAAATCAGAGAAACTAATATTGAAAATTTTAAAGCAAGGACACGTCGTAACTGGAAACTACAATGGGTACAACCTTATTGTAGGAAGAATTTGTAGCAAAGTATATTGAAGATTGATGGTGGTGGGAAGGGCTTCTGGTAATTATCTAGTATTTTTCAAATGTGGTTCGTTCAAATGTCATATCAGAAGCAAAAGGTAGCAGGGTGGTTTTCACGGGCTTGCAAGATGTTGATCAAGGGGTACAAACTTAGTTATAAATGAATACAGTTTGGGGATGTATTGTACATCATACTGACTATAGTTATCTTGGTAGTGGTAGTCATTTCACAGTGTATACTACATCAGTTCATCATGTACATCTCATGCATGTGTATCAAGTATATTCAGTGTTTGTCAATTATACTTAATAAAGCTAAAGAGAAGAAAAGCTATAGCAAAAATTTCAACAGCACCATCTAGTGGCCTCACAGCATTATACTACCTTGTTAAAGGAAAACACCTAACACATAATTAACAAAAAAGACTGGATTAACTTTGGGCAAAGTAAATGGTAGCAGTAATAAACGTGGGAAGTTGTCTTCCACCTGCAATCACTTCTATAGTTGTTTCTGTAACCTTGGTATGGAAAAGAGATCGGTTCCATACATTGCTGTCAGTTCTTGCATACACAAGCAGTCTGCTTACCTTACAAACCCCAACTCCTGTCTTACCAGGGAATAAGACATGTGTAAAATAACAACAAATAAGGCTCCAATTAAAGATAATCTACCATATTATATATTGATGAGTTGCTTCCACTTTCATAAAAAATAAAATTGGAATCTAGAAAACACTGAAGACATTACTAATTCTATGCTATCTCATCCCTAAATCTTTATTAACTGCCCTGGTGAATTCAATAGACCAAGTAACAACTTCTTGCCATAAAGGAAATTATTGTATATGGCAAAATATTAAGATTTGTATAATACATCTAGGAAAAGAACAAGGATGAACAGCTACAGTTGGGTAAAAACTTTCTTAACCAGCAAGCATATTTGCACTAGTTGTACCACATCTTTCCTCAGAGCCTTAAATTATGACACAGATTATTTAAATGTATTTCACCCCTAAAATAACTAAATGGCCTATAATGTTTCTCCAACCATGGTGTTCTACTATTTTAAAAAGAGTTAACCATGTTCTAGATTAAGAATCTCCACCACAGGAGTGAGTTTCACTAATTACAAATTAGATTATTTTTACATAGTACTGTATATGTTACTTAGGAAGCTCTCTTCTTGAAGCAATCAAGTATTTTCATTCATATTTCATTCGCTAACAGAATTCAAAGCTCTTAGAGTAGAAATAGATAAATAGCTAGAAATGTGCAAAACTACTATCAACGTTTTCCTTAATTGAAAAAAATCATAAATTTATTTAAAAGGAAAATTTATGGAATAATATAAATGTATTACAACTTACAATATGAAAATATATTTTGCTAAGGTCTTAAAGTTTAAGAGGAAGCCCATCAGGCACACATGGATGGGAAAAGAGAAAAAAGTGTTTTCAGGGTGCCCGTGGGACTCAAATCCCTCTCTGGGCAGCAGAATGCTTCTGAATCTCTCATCACCTTACAACTTTCACTTACTAATCAAAAAGTATACATAAGATGTAGATACAAAAACAGACACTTTGAAACTGCTGGAAGATAACACCAGGGAAACACTTAAAACCCCGGGCACAGACAGGGACTTCTTAAACAGAACTCCCATAGAACAGAAAATAATACAAACAACCAGCAAATGGGATTACATCACATTAAAAATTTTCTGCACAACAGAGGAAACAGTTGACCAAATAAAGAGACAACCTACAGAATGGTAAAATGCTGCCGGTTAGTCTTCTGATAGTAGACTAATATCTAAAATATATAAAAAATTCAAAAAATTAACTCTACCAAAACAAATATCCCAATCAAAAATGTGCAAATAAACTGAATAGATACTTCTCAAAAGAATACAAATGGCAAATAAGTGAATTAAATAATTTTTAGCCATTACAAAAATGTAAACTTAAACAAATCTAAGATTCCATCTTTGCTTTGTTTTTTGTCTATGCTGTTATTTTATTATTGTTTTTTAATTCTCTTTGAAGTAACATTATTTAGAAAGGCTATTGTCAAGAATGTGGGGAGAAAGGGACACTTATACATTATTGGTACTAATGTAAACTAATACAACCACTATAGAAATCAGCGTGAAGATTTCTCAAAAAAGTAAAAATATAAATTCCATTTGACCCAGCTATAGCCCTCCTGGATATATTCCCAGAAGAGTTTAAGACATCATGCTATACAAGTAGTGATACATGCATGCCCATATTTATAGAAGCACAATTCACAACAGCTAACCTCTAAAAATAGCCTAGATGCTCATCAGCAGATAAATGTATAAAGAAAAAGTGGTATATACATTGAATGAAGTATTTTTCAGCCATAAAGAATGAAATCATACTATTTGCAAGAAAATGGATAGAACTTGAGACCATAATGTTAAGTAAATTAAGCCAGACACAGAAAGATAATTGTCCCATGGTTTCTCTTCTATAGAAAACCTAAAATATAAATTAATAAAAGAGTAAAATAAATTAGAGATGATAGAAAACAAAACAGTGGATTTTTTGGAGATGGAGGAGAAAATGAAGAAGAGAGAAAGATAGAGAGAAAGGGTAAAGAGATAAAAAGTGATTAAGATATTTTACATATATGTACCAGCTCTCCAATACAAATGTAACTATTATCTATTGTAAACACACACTAGTAAAGGTGACATAGTGTACTATGCAACAAAACAATAATTCACAATTTAAGATGTCATAAAAATTTACACGATTTTTTATATGTTTTAGGCACCAAGCAGAAATTCCTAGAGAAACATGGATGAAGCTGGAAATCTGACAATATCTTCTGCCAGCAATAATGCATGCAATGACAGTATTGATGAGTTCCGCAATCAAGTGTATTCTACCTTGTACTCCATTATCTCTGTTGTGGGTTTCTTTGGCAATGGCTTTGTGCTCTATGTTCTTGTAAAAACATACCATGAGAAATCAGCCTTCCAAGTATACATGATCAATTTAGCTGTAGCTGATCTACTGTGTGTGTGCACGCTGCCTCTCCGTGTGGTCTATTATGTTCACAAAGGCATTTGGCTCTTTGGTGACTTCCTGTGCCGTCTCAGCACCTACGCCTTGTACGTTAATCTCTATTGTAGCATCTTCTTCATGACAGCCATGAGCTTTTTCCGGTGTGTTGCAATTGTTTTCCCAGTTCAAAACATTAATTTGGTTACCCAGAAAAAAGCCAGGTTTGTATGTGCTGGCATTTGGATGTTTGTGATTTTGACCAGTTCTCCATTTTTAATGACCAAAACTTATCAAGATGAGAAAAATAATACCAAGTGCTTTGAGCCTCCACAGGACAATCAAGCTAAAAATCATGTTTTGGTCTTGCATTATGTGTCATTACTCATTGGCTTCATCATCCCTTTCATCACTATAATTGTTTGTTACACAATGATCATCTTTACTTTACTAAAAAGTTCAATGAAGAAAAATCTGTCCAGTCGTAAAAGAGCTATAGGAATGATCATAGTTGTGACAGCTGCATTTTTAATCAGCTTCATGCCATATCATATTCAACGCACCATCCACCTTCATTTTTTGCATAATGAAACTAAACCCTGTGATTCTATCTTGAGAATGCAGAAGTCAGTGGTCATAACCTTGTCTCTGGCTGCATCGAATTGTTGCTTTGACCCTCTCCTATATTTCTTTTCAGGAGGGAACTTTAGAAGAAGACTGTCTACATTTAGAAAATATTCTTTGTCCAGCATGACTTACATATCTAAGAAAAAGGCTTCCTTACCAGAAAAAGGAAATGAAATATGTAAAGAATAGTTTAAGCCCATCTACAATGCAACAAAGTGCAAATAGTTCCTCAATTATTTTCTTAAATCATTTATAATTAAAAAGAAATTTCCCACTAATAATTTACAAATACTTAATCAAATATATATGCTTATGAATCTATCTTATGCATTTCATTATTAGATATATTAAGTGTTAAAACTTCAATCCACAACTATGGGCTAAATTATAAACTGTTGGTTGACCATTCGCCAAAAGGTGAAGAATATTTGCCGTTTTTCACTATAAAATGTGGAATTAAGATCAAGCTTTTCTTCCTCTAATAAGTTTTACAAAAGATAAGAACTAGACTTCTAAGACCTACAGTTATCAAGTAATTCTCAATGGTCCTATATTCTTTTGTATGAATGCCTTCAGGTGAGATCTGGAGATAACCCAAGAGCTACATAAAATTTACTGCAACCTTATACTTGGAACTACTGACCAGCTAGGAGAAGTAGGGCTGTTTCTTCCAGAAAAGAATGTACAAAAGCTAGACCAGATGAGTATTCAGTGAAATGGCCCTAAAGACTCCATGCAATGTACACTCTGGAAACTGAGGAAGATAACCCTGATTAAAACTCAGCTTGTCTCCAGTTTTCTTCTGCCCCTGCCTCAGGTCTGCTAAAAACAATGGTGGCATCTTTGAGATTCCTAGTGAGATTTCTATAAGGATTTCTCTCCTTACATGACATATAATCCTCAAGAAGTCAGACAACTGACACTTCCATATATGAACAGAACTAATTAAAAAATTATCTTAAGAAAAAGAAAAGGGGACTACTTTTCTACATGCCTATTAATAGGATCAAAATTAACTACAAAGGATCTCTGAAGAAAATCTTGAAATTCCATGCTACAAATTCTTTCAAGTGCATATATTTATGTACATGTGTATAGCTATATGTAAGACATTTTGTTCTTTCATAGGCATTTGTGGGTAAAAGTTAATTATAAGCTTTATTACTGTTTCATACTTTTGCTTGTTTTGGGCATGTCAACAGAAATATCAAAGATATTTTATAATATTTTTATCTTACAGGAGAAGCTTTATTTTTAAAATGGTGACAACTTGGTTATGGTTAAAATATATTCCTGGGCAAGCTATTGCTGAAGTACAGTGTTTTTCTTAACTTGTGTAACTTGTTTTTTAAGTGTTTTAAAAAGCACATTGCCTCAGAAGAAATAGATGACAATAGGAAAAATGATAGGAAAAGTCCAAAGGAGTTCTATCTGAATCTGCTTTATATACATCATTTTTATTTCACTTCTAGTATTGCAATCCGTTGAAAAAAATCACAAAATATAAAGGGATTCCAAGGCATAATAATAACTTGTACCCACTTTTGTTTAACATACGTGAGATTTGCCATTACTTATGCTTTTACTGTATATTGTTTTTTCCTTGCTTGAGACAAAGATCTCATATAATATTTTCCATACAATTCAGTGTTCGTTGCTCATTTACTAATCCTCCTGCTAGTCAGCAAGCAACACAGTATTGTAGAAGAGCACTACATTGTAAGCCAGAAGACTTGGATGCTAACTTGGTCTCTATTATCTACTGACTGTATAACATTAAGCAAACACCTTCCTCATTTGTAAAATGGAAATAATGACAGTTGTCCTGCCTTTTATATGTCATATTGAAACACAAATGAGATCATGAATGTTAAAGTATTGCCTTACAGGTAAATAATGAGTTGTCATTCTAAACTACTTATAGGTGGCTTCATTACTTAAATATCCAGATTCATCTTTACTACATATATTCTAATTTTGAAATCATTAAAATATGGCCATAGTTAAATTGTATTGCACATAAAAGAGTATTTTAACAGCGATACATGTGCACCCATGTTTACAGCAGCACAATTTTTAATAGCTAGATCTTGGAAACAACCCAAATGCCCACCAACCAAAGAATGGATAAAAAAAACAATGTGGTCTTTTTATACAATGGAGTACTACTCAGCCATAAATAAGAATAAACTGGATATTTTTATCAGCAAATGGATGCAAGTTGAGACCATACTCATAAGTGAAATAAATCAGATACATATATGTAAACATTGTATTGTCTCCCCAGTGTGAGAAGCTGAAAGAGTAAGATCCAAAATGTAAAATAGATATTGTAAAATGGGAAGAAACTTCAAAAGGAAAGAGAAACTGGAATGAGGAAATGGAGAAAAGAAGGGGAAAGTATATATATATATATATATATATATATATATATATATAAGTTAAGATAGTCATACTACTAATTTCTCTTAATTCATTGAAAAGAAAGGTTTGTGCTAATATTGTTTGGACAATTAAATTCTGATACCTTGTACTCTGAGTAACTAATTTAAATATAACACTATGCAATGTGTTAACCATTGTTACCCTCCTATTCTCTTGTTTAGAAATTAGGGGAGGGTTTTCCCTTTAAAATGAAAAAGAGTCTTTTAGTTTATTCCTACTTCTAGTTTTTTTAGTATGTTCTCATTTCTACTCAAAGTCCCACTTACCCCATACAGAAATATACCACAAAGTCTTCACCTGCAAACCCACGATGAATTTATTCTTCTTTCATGCCTTATGTATTTATACTCTGTACTGTACTGCTTAATACTTATTTTCCAAATTTCTCATATGTGTTAGTATTTTCTCCCAAAGTAGAGTGATTTTTGTGGATTATCAATTCCTTGACATTGGAAATTACATCTTTAAATGACATTTAATGAGCTCTATGTGCTGTACTGTGTTTTAAATGCTTTACCTGTACCAATGCATTTAATGCTTATTACTGTCCTTTGACATATGTACCATTATTATTTCTCCTTTACTGAATTAAAAACTTTGGCACAAACAGATTTAGTAACTTGTCCAATGTTAGACAGCTAGCAAGCATCAGAACAAAGTCTCAAACACAAGCAGTCTACTACCGCAACTCATGTTCTTAATTTACTACACTATTCTGACTAACCATTTTTCTATCATTTCAGTTATATAAGATGAAAAAGTTTTAGAGATCTGCTGTACATCTTAGTGACCATAGTTAACAGTATTGTGTTGTACACTTTAAAAATTTGTTAATAGGAGAACTTTTTATGTTTAGTAGCCTTAGGTACATATAATGAGAGAGAAAGAAAAGAAGCAAGTGTTTATTATTAATGAGTTTTTATTCATTTTAAAAAACAAACTACAGGGGCTGGGGATTTAGCTCAGCAGCAAAAAGCGCGTGCCTGGCAAGTGCAAGGTCGTGAGTTCGGTTCCCGGTACCGGAGAAAAACCAAAAAAAATAAATAAATAAATAAAAAACAAACTGCATGCTCAAAATTTTTAACTATATGAGCACATGAACCACACCCTAAAACCTAAAATTCCAGTCAAAACATGTTAAAAACATTGTATAGTACCTAAGAATGTTGATATTAGAAAAACTTTCATGTTTGTAAGTCCCAATGGCAGTATAATATCCAGTGGTATTGATGTGCCATCTTCTGACATATATGCCTTTGGCCATCAACAGTCCTTTAAGACCTTATCACCTTATCCAGACTTTCTTTCATTATACACTTAACTTTGTATTTTAATCAGCAAATATGGTCTTAGTATCTTAAAAATATAATTTCTGAAAGGAATAATCTGTATTTTAGTCACCAGAATAAATATAAATGGTCTTGTGTATTCATCTCATCCTGTAAACTTCGGTTTTCTTTGTTATAAAATGTCCTCATTTTCATGCTAGTAACCTGATTTTGAATTTTAATTTTTAATTGGTCTTTTAAGAAAATTAAATATATCTCTCAATGGCTACCTCTTACTAACATGTTAGTGACTCATAATGGAAAATCCTGAAATGTGAAATGGTGAGATTAGATCTCAGAGCCATATAAATATGTGGGGCTTTTTCAGTAAGGACTATAACACCAGCTGTAGGAAAAGAAGCTCATTTATTCTATTTTTATTTCATATGTACAATCTGGATTAGATTTTCTTTACCTGGTAGAAAAAGACCAAAGTGTTTTTAAGAAGGCAAACTCAAAATATTTTCTTTGGAGAGCTTTGTACCCAAGAGTTCTGTTACTCTGGATAAATCAAAAGACAGTCTTTAACTTCTCATTCCTCTGTGCTCACTACTTCACTACACATATAATACATACAGTCTTCACTATATATAATATATGCATCATATATAATCCCTTCTGTGATGACTCTACTAAATCACAAGAATATATTTCTATTTGTACTTCTATTCATAGCACAAATCCACTGCCTAAATTTTGTCAAACATTTACAAGGAACACTTTCTCAAGTGACACTCAAATTTGTATCTGCAGGACTTTGCCTTTACACTTTTGCTTGATAACTAGTCATGATACGGCAAGCGAGTTCATGAAAAAAGGCATTCACAGGAAAACCAAAAAGGCAGGAATGAACAAAGGTTTATTAACCGGCTGATGGACAATCTCTAGCCAGGAGCCAGAGATGTCCACCCTGATCTAGGTCTCACCTTTAGTTGAAGTACATTTTAGGTTTCTATAGTAACCATTATCTCATTTTGGGGAATCTTACAAGAATGTCACACAATTATCACAAAGTTTACTTCTCCCAGAAGGTCAGACAACTGAACTCCAAATGACCATCGCAGTTTAACTCTTAGCCCACTTTCCAATTTCTCCTGTTTGTTCTGTTCCCATTTTATGACTCTGCTCTGAGTTGATAACTAACCAAGGCAACTGGGGTGAACTACAGCTCAAGTGAACTTTAAGTGACTTCTCTCAATATGGAGTTAAACACAGAAAAATGGAGTCTTTCTTGTCTTATCGTTCCCCCCTCAGGACATATTTTCATTCTTCAGGACATATATAGTCCTTCACATATTTGGAGATCTGGTCTCCACTCTATAGTTGGTGTTTTTCTTTAGAACCGTCATTTGTGCTCCATTCACATTGTTTTGGATCCTATTTTTAACCCAATTAATTATGTACAACCCAAAAGTAAGAAGCACCACAATAATCTGTAAGGGCCCTGTGATCACAGCAATTAGGGAGGTTAATCTCAGGCCCCAGTTGAAGAGGTCTTTATATCACCATTGGTGGCATAACAGGTCTTTTTCCTTTCTTTTGCTTCTTCATCCAACCGGTCAAGTGTATCTATGATGACTCCCGAGTTGTTTGCATAAAGATAGCATTTTTTAAGGACAGCATATAACCCCCTTTGTTCCATGAAGAGTAAATTGAGTTTTCTTCTATTCAGTAACACTACTTTTGCCAAAGAATTAACCTGGCTGTGTACCTGTCTGACTACATTTTGAACTCCCTCCACATCTTTCTCCCATTGTTTTGGGGCACATAGAGAGTCCCCACTTTACAAGTTCATGTCATCATTATCCCCTCTAATTGACTTTTTCTGCATCTGTCATTTGGGGAAAGGGTGAGTCTCAGGATTTGCTTTGTCTCACTACCAGGGGTGGTTTCGAAATTTACATATGGGGATTACAAATATAACATCTTGCTGGTCACACAGGAGCTGCAGTGAGGCCAGCTCAGCTCACTGAATGTGAATAGAGTCCACTCAGGGGCTCACAGTGGTGTAATTACAAAGGTGCTCCCCCAGTCCATCAGGAGTCCTTATCTCTTGTAGTCCTAAAATGGGCAAAAGTGGAGGAGGCCTCCCAAACATGATCTCAAATGGAGTGAGCCCATCCAGGTATGGAGTGCATCGGAACCTCAGCAAAGCCATCAGAAACATAGTCACCCAGTTTGCCCCAATCTTTTGGCACAGTTTGGCTAGGGTAGACTTTAAAATCCAATTTTGTACCTCTACCTGGCTGAAACTCTGTGGCCGGTAGGTGGTGTGTGGCTTCCATTTTAGCCCTAAGGCTGCAGAAAGGCTGTAAACCACTTAACCCATGAAAGCAGGCTCATTACCTGAACCCACCACCACAGGGAGCCCACACCAAGGAATAACTAGCTCCATCAGAGCTTTTATCACTTCTCCAGATGTCTCAGTTCTTGTGGGGTTGGCCTCCACCCAGCCCAAATAAATGCAAATGAGGACCAACAAATACTTCTTGTTCCCAAGGGTGCGTCTGATTTCTGTGCAATCCACCTCAA